TTAAAAGTACACTGGTTATTAACTGTTTGTACGGACAATTGCGCTACACAGATTTTGGCCATTTCCCCAAAATTTCCTCAAACGTTTGGGAAAATTCAAACCCAACCATTGGTAAGGGGTTATTCCATAAAATTTCTCCAAACTTTGGGGATTACACCAAAATAGGGAGATTAGGTATACCCATATTATTAACTATTTGAAGTAAACGCTCGTAAACCATGTCTTCTCTTTTCGTGAAGGATTTTCAACATATGATTAAAAGCATATGCGTTTCAGTTGATGATGTATACAGCATGCATACGTTTGTCTAACTAACTATATCTATATTACTGAGTCATTAGCTCATTTCATTTGTTTCTATCTCTTACAGATTGTCTAATATACTTTTATCTGCATACTCCCTCACCGCACGACATTTCACGTGGTTAAACGCAATCCTACTCGTCTGCAGATATTTCAAGATGTTTGATCGGTTTACAAGTTTGCTAAGCCTGATAATCTTCTTCTTGGCAAGTTTGGAAGTAAGTTATTCTATTTGTGCACTGGCTATTTGCGGAAATGTATTGTACTGTAAAGAGAATAATAGTTCTTTTCAAAGAACAAGATTAACGTTTCTTAAAATCATTGTGCATGCGCAATCAGGTTCATTTGATTGAAGAATGTGTTTTTATTGATGAATTTATTTAATAGTTCGTCAGGTTATCTACTAATTTTGACAGTTTTGGGCGAAATGCTAAATGTCTACAGCAACTCGGGGTCCTTTTGCCTTTTTGCTTAGAAATCAGCGAGAGTCTTCCTTCATTGCTTTTTGAACATCATTGAGCTTTATTATTATTTTCAACTTTGTTAATCGTTTTTTGCAGCTAATTTAGATGTTTTCGATAGGTTACTAGTACCAATTTTACACAATTTTTTAGTTTGAGAAGGTTAAGTATTTTGTCGTTCCAGGTGATTTAGAGGACACATTGTCAATATTAAATGAGTAGCCTGGGAAAATACGAATTTTAGTACAATCACCTAATTTTCGTTCTATGATTAATGAGTTCATCATAATCATTTCATAAATGATAGATATAAAACACACCGTCAATGTCATTTGCTTTTTAGTGTCTTAGAGTTAAATCCGTAAATCTTCAAAGAGGCTATTAAAAGTCATTTAGTTAACAGCTAAATGTCGCGACCAAGCATAAATGAGAAAATATGAAAACATCTGAAGGCCGGTGTTTGTGATGCATTCACACAAAAGAATATATTCATTTACTACCTATCTGGCTTTCGATGCTCACTTTTTTAGCAAAATGTTTCCAATTAATCAAATACGGCATAACCTTCCGTATCCCCTTACTTTTGTGTGTGTAATCATGTAACGTTTCTAGGGTCCGTTACTGTCTTGTAACAACTGTTAGTTATAATTCGCACAGCGATCACCAGGTGTTGGGTTTGATTCAGTATCCAAAGCATGCATATATTTCACTATCATGATTATACTCAGCATGACGTGATAAAAATACACCAGTTATGTTTTGTCTTTTTTCCAGTTTTATTCAGACTAAGTGATCAGGCTTTGTTTCCTGAGGATTTCTTTGTAATTATGTCATGCTGTCGATTTAAGGTATTAATAATCTTCAACCAATTATGGACTTACATATTTTGGAATTATTTTATTTGTTTTACTTTAGCGGTTTATCTCATCAATTTGTGGTCTGTCAGTTTTTTTAAAGCCCTACCTAAGTATTTATATATGCATGAAGTAACTATGGTTACTGTAGTTCGAAAACGTATTTTACAAATATTCTAGTATGTGCCGCCGTAATCGTAATTTTTTTTTAATACTTCGTAGGCCTGCAACAGAAGTCCAGCATCTGGTAAGATCTATGATTTTACGGTCACTGATATTGACGGTAATGAAGTTCAACTGAGAAAGTACCTGTAGGTGTTCTGCTAATTTCCGACTAGTTTTGTCTATAGAAATGAAGTTTGCATAATTGTGAATGTTGCTACTGAGTGAGGCCTTGCAGGCACTAATTATCCCCAGCTTCAGAGACTATATACCCAATATTCTGAAAGTGGCCTCCGAATTTTAGCTTTTCCATGTAATCAGTTTAGAGGACAGGTAACTTATAGTTGACATAACTAGTCTACCTTCAGGAACCCGGGACTGATCAAGAAATAAAACAGCGTGTGTTAGCGAAGTATAATGTGACATTCGATTTGTTCCACAAAATTGATGTCAATGGTGAAAATGCTGTTCCGTTGTACAAGTTTCTGAAACAGTCAATATCGTCTTGGTTTTCCAGGTACGCCCTCAATACTGGTTTAAATTTTGATATGTGTGAAAATTTAAATCCCCTTTTTACGGTGCTTCTTTGATATGGTTGCCCTTTCGTAAATATTTGAAATCGTATTAAACGAGAAAAGGGGGTTGGGGAATTAGTTATCACATGGACTCAGCCACGTAGCGTTATATTAACTTAAAGTGTCAAGTCATTGATTGTCATTAGGCGACCTGGATCACATTATTTTGGAACAGGATTTCAAGAGCGCAGTAAAATGTACCATATTATGAGATCGCTTTATCGAATGTTTTTGAAAACTGCGAATATGGAGAATCCACCTAGGGGAGTTGAAAAACCCTGATTCCAAACCAATGGTGCACATACGCTCTAGGTTTCTATAGGAACAAATGGTGTTTGAACCTATTGTTGGTCACCGGCTACCATGGGATTGGATCTAACGTTTCCCCGCTGTCGTATGGATTAGACCTCTGGGTCAAAGGCTCGGAGAGTGCCCCCGCTAAAAAAACCATCTGTTATTTATTTAGAACAACTTCATGAAGGTAATGAGACTTTCATGTTGACTTAGTTAACGTTAGTATATCAAAGAAATTAGTAAAACCTATCCAGCAATTAATACGACCACAATACAAAATCAAACTCATAAGCAAATATAGCTTCGTGTACAAAGTTTTGAGTTTTGTTGATTACGTGACAATAGTATGTGGTCAAAACAGTAACAGATAAAATGCAAGCTGAGATATAAGCTTATAGACTGCCGATATGTAGTCCTACCAACCTCAGATGTAAGAATGAGTAATAACCATTCGACCTCAGAAAATCAAGTAAGTGATATATGATCAATTGGATGCTAGAAAAGGAAGGACAGAAATGACTGAGTCGTTTAGGACAACATCAGCGCACACTCCGATAAGTAGTGGTTTATTAAGATTTCTTCACAACTGTCTAGCAGATTATTCTCTTGACCCATAAAGCTTCGTGAATAATCTGTCCAACTCAGAAACAAAATACTTTCACCATGGTTCTGTTTTACGAGGACTCTGACTAAGCACAAAATGTTGCTTCATGACCGATCTGAGTCAACTGCTGACCTAACAATATATGACAAAGTAGTTTGGATTATTCGATCACCTTACACCTCTCCGAAGTCTCGTCAGTGGTACCGACTGGTTTTCCACGAAATATCGACACCGATTCAAACAGCTCTCTTGGCTTTTCCAAATTCGCTTCATACATGACGTGGGTGAGATAGATGTCCATTTACCAACCAAAGAACGATGTACTACACGGCATTTCGGTCTGTTCTACTTTTATGACTGAAATGTTCCCTGTGAACTTATTGGATTTTCACGGGTTACTAGTGTTTGATTAAGATTGTCTTCACAGCACTGCTGTTGTATGTAGGGCCATCGAGTGAGCAATGTTGAAGTCAGATGTAGGGTATCAGGTGAAGTTGGTGAGTCGATTAGTGAAGTGGTTAGGACATGTGTTACGTATTCCAGAGCATTGCCTACCTCAACGAGTTACGTTTCCTGTTGTAGGAAGAGGTTAGACAGAATCTAGGAGCAGCCAAACGAAGACATGGTAATTTTCTATAAAGTCATCGACAATTGAACTGGGTTATATTAATAGGTGTAAACTATCTGACTGAGTTAAGCGTGTTCATTCTAACCAATGGCTAGAGGATTCAAGTGATATTCAAAGCTGTTTTGGATGATACGTGTGTGTTTACTCTTTGTTTTTTCTGAGTACTTAACTCCCGAAATCCCGTCATAGCAATTTTGGTGTCCTGTAGCGTGTCTGGCTGCGAAACATGGCCTTTAAGAGTGGAAGATATTCGTAAGTTACTAGTATTTGACCACAGATGCCTTAGAAATATTGCGGGTATCTGCTGGGATCACCGGGTAAGTAATAGTGAGGTTAGACGCAGGGTATTAGGGAATGATGGTAAATCAGTTGATGAGGTTATGAATCTTCATCGACTGAGATGGTTGGGCCACGTGTTGCGTATGCCTGAACACCGATTACCACGACGCGCAATGCTGACTAGTGCAGGGGATAATTGGAAGAAAGTTAGAGGTGGCCAAACCAAAACGTGGCATCAGTGCTTGAAGTCACTAACTTCTGGTCTGAGCCATGTTGGGAGATTCAGACTGCCTGGTTGGGGTCCGCGTGACCATCGTAACCAATGGTTGGAGACTCTTGGTGACATGGCTCAGAATCGATCACAATGGCGTCGGTGTATACACTCTCTGTCTTCCTTAAATTAAGAGATTAAAATCGCTTCATATCTGTCTAGGAACTAATTCTTTCTTCCTTTACTATCTCCTTATACACAATCTTTCTTCTATATATTACCACCACTGAATTAACTACTCCTATGAATCCGGTGTTCATCTTGTTGTGCTAATGCGGTATGGCAACTTGGACCGATGCATATACGTGCCTGGTCCTACGTTGCAGCTGACTGACTGACTGACTGTAGCGTGTCTCTTTGATTACTATTGATATTATCATCTTTTCTATTGCTGTGGGATTTATCTTCAAAGTTTTATCTCCTTGTGCTAATGTGGTATCGTGACTTAAACCGATGTTCCGGGTTCTACCGTGCATCAACTAACTGAATAATATTTGTAGTTGATCAATAATGCTATATTTATTTCTATATTTTAAGCTAATAAAGTTTATAAAGCTTGATTGAAATACATGGTTGATGTTCGCAGACCTGTATTAAATGCGTATATCGTATTACATGTGTATTTTTGCCATAGAATTCTGATTTCACTTTCTTGTCATTCTACTGTAATAAACTTGTGTTATGGGCGCATGAACATTTGACCTAAATATTTAATGTGTCTGGTGTTCGATTAAAACGTTTATAACTACTTTATATCTTACAGAGACATAGAATGGAATTTCGTGAAATTTCTAGTTGACAGGAATGGTACTCCTGTATCTCGTTACAGTTCAATAACTCCACCTAACGTAAGTTTTATTGATTTATTACTTATCAAGCGTTTTATTGATGTCATAGAATCAGCCATTTTAGACTTTGACTATTTGTCACGAAATTAATAGACTATATATTATTTTTTATAAATAAACATTTCGTTACTTAAATGTATTTGGTGTATATTTTACCTTTACGCTTATATTATTCTAGATGTAGGTAGTTCAACAAACAAATGTAAGTGCATAAATACTTCACTGTCTGTCAAATATACTTCGCGGTCAAATCTCAGATCAAACATGATTAACCGTTTAGGTCGTATCAAAATGACCAAGTTAAATACTGTGCAAACTAAGTACTATTCGATTTACAAGTACTGTGGTATTACCATTTTATTTGAATGATTGTTTAGAAAGTTGCAAATTGTCCAGATGATTAAAATCAAATATTCACTTTACAGTATTTAGAAACTGTACGTATTATCTTGCACATTTTGTAAATGGAAAATAAATCACTATTGTCTAAGTTTCGTAGTTCCAAACATATCCTTTCAATAGGGTACTACTTTCTCCGATTTGTTAGTCTTCCTTACACTAATCTCCACTGTTTTTATTTAATCATCAACACTGTTAACAGCATTTATTCACACGTATAAAAATTTTTCAGTGGCATAAAGCCAAGAGCTGTTCTAAGATAAATGTTTCAGAGAATATTTACACAAACGGTCCTGGTAGGATTTAGTATTTTCGTCAACTTTTCGGCAAGATTATTTGTCGAGGTGTCCAATACATAGATAGCAATGAACGTAAATGGATTTCAGTTTTGTAGATTTTTGCTAATCGATGTAATCATCAATGAGAATACGTAGAACCCATAAGTTATAATGGAATAAATTCTTCCTTACTTGTGACATTCATGTTGAGCTATTTCAAAAGATTTAAATTTACTCTTCCTTCTCGTTGATCTATTCCATCAGAGTTTACATCAGTCATAGATTTACTATTATCGCTGACAATAGAAAGCATTTTATTTTTGTAATCAAATCGCATCTAATACCTTGTCAAACTAAAGTGGGATATTATCGGAGTTAGTTCGTAATTCCTTTAATGATACAAAACTATTTAATTATATTTTTATCATAGTTTGACAAATCAAATTGTTTTTTTCATTATGCGCTCTAAAGTGACTACATCAGTGAAAGTGAACAACATAGTCAATAAATATCATTTGGGCGTGTAAATGTTAATTTACATTTGTCTTGACAAGATTCAAGTAATTCAAGTGGGAACAATTCTTAGAACAGATTATGTCTAGTACTCAAATACTTGGCACTGTATTTTTAAATATCTCCTAATTCCTCGGAAATCCTCTATACTTAGACCCTTAACAGAAGACGAAATGCAATACGTATGGAAAAAAGCTTTGTTTCCAAGGTTACTACAAGCACAGACAACAAGGATATTTTTAGGTTTACGCGTGGCCTTCGTATTCTACAGGCCTATAGAAACGTTTTAAATTCAATAATCAAATATAAAATCATTCAATCAGAATATAATGTAATCTATCGCTTTCTATCACCTAATTAGATGCAGCATTCTCAGCCTTTTCCTAATTTCTGAAAACTTTCCCGATGAATTCACCTTTCCTTAAACTGAATTTGTTAACTTTCATGTTATATGTACTGAATTGTATTGCTTTTAGCACTTGTTTCAAGTTAATTGATTCCATTCTATTTTCTTTATACAGAGTATGGAAGCTGAAATTCGGAAGTTACTTGGCCTTTCTAATGAATTATAAAACTCATTATTTAATTACCTGCTTCTCTGTTTGCTTTCACTTTGTTTTTAATTATCTTTCATTATAAAGTTATATGATCAGTGATATACACCAAAATGATAATTTAGTGATCAAACAATGATGAATATGTTTGAAAATCTTATTTAAGATTAAACATATTCTGATGTATTCATTAGGACTCTGGTATATGGTCTTGATGAGATCCTGAATTATTTTTACGTGTGTATAGAACTGCTTCTTCTATCTTTTATTTATATCTATAGATGCTTATCAATAAAAAACGTTTAAATAAATTGTACTTCTTCAAGCCTTTTTTTTAAAAATATAATAGTGGGTTGGAAAGTCGACTATTCTGTAAGTGTTTTGCGTGTTGCCTAATAGACACGAAAATTAAAGTTATTCAAAGGTCTGTACTACATTAAATTAATGTGAAAGTATCTGTATATATTATCTCTTTTTTCTTCATTGTATCCATTGTCTAACTTTGTATATATTTTATTAAGCTTACTTAGAAATATATTCACATTTAGTGATCTTAATAATGGGAGGAAATATAATTTGATGAATGATATCCACTTAACCTAGAATATTTAGAATATTAGATTATTTAACCTGTTCTATTATGATTTGATCTAGAAATTCATTTTCTTTCGTTTCTATTTCTACTGATCATATTTAACAGCTATGATTAATGTCCTGTGATATTGTATGAGATAAGTAACTTTAATAATTTTCTCAATGATCTAACTATAATCCAAATTTTAAACATTAACCATGTGTATAAGTATGTAGTTTTACTGATAATTTATATGATAAGTTAATCCGCCTCTCATCATCCATTCACTGAATACTTTCTACGTGAATAATCCGGATTTTCAAGTAGTAACACTCGGTCACAATCAATACAACACATACAGTGTTTTGTCCGTCATAATATGTTCGATTCTTAGGGCGCGTAATAAATTGCGTCAATTTTTGTCTAAAACGATTAGTGAATAGTTATTCATGAAATTTCTTATATTGGGCTGTGTACCGTCTAGTCGCTTATTGATTACTCTTCATCCAAATTAACCAGTGTTATTTGAAAAGGGTACCATAAACTTGAGATCTATGTGGATAATCAAGAAACAAATTTTTTATTTAAAAGACATCTAAGTTTGTCTGAAAATTTAAATAAGAATGTAATATCTATTAAGTTAGAATTAAAAATTGGGAGTTGATTATTTTCTAAGCTGAAGTTAAAAAAATTACAGTTTGTCATTAGCCTAAGTTTTCATTACTTCACCGTCAGGATCAATTACAAATGGTGTCATAACCTAAAACATGAGCACGCAAATTCAAGCCATACAATGTTTATCGTTCAATTGAAATGAAAGTAAACTGGTTTCAGAGCATTTTAAAATAATCCGGAAAAGCAAGAGCATAATTTCAGTAGGCAAGTTTAAGAATGTCAGTGTTCAGCACTTAACATCTTTCAAAACAGTTTAGCTGGAGGTATTCAACGAGTGTAATGCTGCACAAAATCCAGTCCTATTTACTGTCAGCATATCATTACACAGGGATATGAATAAATCAACCCAATATATTTGAAGGCTTAGTGTTAATTTTTTAACATCAGAAGAATGAAGACAGTATCTTGGTCGAGTCCCACAGCTTAAAGTGTATATGAGTATAGTATTCATGCAATTTATGACTGTTCCATTAATCAATTTACATGTATTTTGTTAGAATTTAAGGAGTCGTAGACTAAAATAGCTATTCGTAACTAACAGAACTAGTGAATTACTTTATTTAAACAACTACTGGGAATCAGAAAGCATTAGATATATGCTTCGTCAAAGTACAAGACGCCTCAGTAACAGTGTATATCCACAACCATACAGGAGATTAAACCAAAAGCCCTCAGACTTTGCGATGTGCCCTTAAATCTTGTTGGGTAGACTCAGTATGCGATGATAAGCTTTAAATATATCTATTTTTTGAAGGTCATCCACCTCCGATGAGTAACTAAAATAATTCGACGTATCAGTTATGTTTGGTTGTTTAGTACTATTTACGTTGCCTGACATTTAAGGCGTAGAGTTAAACTCACGTTCAAGATTAGAGGGTTTTACGACTTCAAATAACCACTAATCAATCGTCTCAATCAAACTAACCTCAATGAGTATTGTTAGAAGTCTAAGAAGGTATTATTTTCTTATTTACGATCAAACATTTGTATTCGGAAAGGTATAACATGGCAATCACTGATTTTTTTTCACATCATTTATTCCAGTTTTAAAGAGAGATATGTGTAATTATTGTCTTACAATATTTGTAATGATTACTATTAGATTCACCGGAACATTGCATCTGTAGTAGATGAAAGTGTGGCGTATACTACTTATGTCGATGGACATAAGTAGTATGTAAGACCAACCAGAAATGGAAAGCCTGGTAGCAGAAAGCTAAGAGGATCGTCAGTCAGTCAGCTATAACGTAGGACCATGCATATATATACATCGGTCCAAGTTACCATACCTCATTAGCACAACAAGATGAACACCGGATTCATAGAAGTAGTTAATTCAGTAGTGGTAGTATATAACAGAAAGATTGCATAGAAGGAGATAGTACAGGAATAAAGAATTAGTTAGTAGAAAGAAAGATATGAAGCGATTTTAATCTCTTAGTTTAAAGGAAGACAAAGAGTGTATACACCGACGCCATTGTGATCGATTCTGAGCCATGTCACCAAGAGTCTCCAATCATTGGTTACGATAGTCACGCGGACCCCAACCGAGTAGTCTGCATCTACTAAAATGGCTCAGACTAGAATTTAGTGACTTCAAGGACTGATGCCACGTTTTGGTTTGGCCACCTCTAACTTTCTTCCAATTATCCCTAACACCAGTTAGCATTGCGCGCCGTGGTAATCGGTGGCCCAACCATCTCAGTCGATAAAGATTCATAACCTCCTCAACTGATTTACCACCATTCCCTAATATCTTGCGTCTAACCTCACTATTACTTACCCGGTGATCCCAGGAGATGCGAGCAATATTTCTAAGACATCTGAGGTCAAATACTAGTAGCTTACGAGTATCTTCAACTCTTAATGCATACGTCTCACAGCCGTAAAGTAAAACAGATCGAACTGCCACGCAGTATATACTCGTCCTTTTATTGATAAACGGATATCTCGCCTTCGCCATTGGGAATGGTACACTGGAAGAATCATACAGAATATGAAAGACAAATAGTGGAAATTTGCAAATGAAGTATTCAATGAATGGTTCCCATACTTTATCAAGATATTCTGTAATTTTATATTAAACATTGAAATGTCCATGTCTCGTTCACACCATTAGGACCTGTTGTAGATTTTCAGTGTACAGATGTGTATCGATGTAAAAATAAATGAATCCTCAATTAATAGTTGTTAATTTAAATCACAAACTTATATTCAAGATTAATCATATACAACACTTAACATCAAACTAATACAAAACTGACCTGTTTGATATGATCGAAGAAATAATTAGTTAGTTTGTAAACAATCAGTGGAGTACGATATTTATGTAAGTGAATATACAAAACTTAGAACAATTTTATTTAAACTAATATCATACTATTAATACCTGTTCTTAAATATTTATTTTATTGAACATAACATGGATAAAACCATCAAGTACATAATTGTTATAACGCGTTATAACGCTTAAACGATTATCTTCACTAGATCCCTCCCAGTGTCTATTCTACAGGACGTCAACACAACTCAGATCAAGAACACGTAATTAGCATGACCAGAACGTGAATATATTTCCACATCCAAAACCTACACAATCCACAACAATGAACAATCAATAATAAGTGTATGTGTCACAATAATAAGGATAAGGGAATATATAACTTATTTGACACCTGTCAGACTGTCTACATGTCTGACTAAGCAGACAGCCAATCATGTTCATTCTCGCCCACACATCAACAATAATCACATCTCAATTGTTAAGATCATGAGTCAGTTGAAGCTAGACCACCATGGAAAACTTGGAAGCACTGGACGGCCGTTTCGTCCTATTGTAGGACTCCTCAGCTTTAACTGACTCATGATCTTAACCATTGAAATTACTACAATCTCCACAAAACTTCTTCTGATATTAATAATTACATCTCCCAAAGAGTTACCGAATGATATCACTCAACACATTTAGTATAATAACATTTATAAGTGAACAATATTGTTTACAATTAAATCCTCATCAGACTACTACTCTAATATACAGTAATATTTATATTCATATATGTAATTATTATACCAATCAAGGCAGTTTATGAATCAATGATAACAGTGGAATAGATTACATAGATAAACAATCATGTAAAAAGTACAAATTGATAGTGTGTGTGTGTGTGTGTGATAACAACTGTACTAATTTTAATAATAATAGGGAAATAGGTCAATGACCTATAAAAAAATTTATAGATGCTGAAGTAACATTCATAAAAAAAAACTATATGATCACGTGATAATAAATGTTAAGATAATTGGACAATAAAGTGTATATTTCACTAGTGACTATATGCTGATTGACAATAGAAAGGACTTTTGGATGGATATTATCGTAATTTAGTAGTTGAGATCATGATGTCAACTATTATATTATTATAATATCCACAAAAACCCATTTCTCATATTTATCTAATTTTGTTTGTTTTAATACATTATAGCTATTAATTGTATAATCTATTTAAATACGGTGTAAAAGTTATGAAAAGGTTCAATCAGAGATATCATGGTTGCTAGCAATATACATCGAAAAGAATGTACATTATTTAGATGTCAATTGACTGAACTGCTAAATTCTAACTGATGATCACTCAATATTTATCATCAGGATCAACCAAGAAATAAGAAACGGAAATATGTTGAAAATTTTTGTGATGAAACTTTTATATTATACCAAGAATATAATATTGAATAAAGCTAATAATAATGATATCTGCGTTGAAAT